AGGCTCTTGCAGGGCCTTATCACAGCTTGGTCCGGCTCTCGGGTTCGGGAGAGCTTGAATCTCTGTGGGTAATATTTCCCGCATGCCTTGGCTGCCCATTCTCGCTCTTTATTTTCCGTTCTCTCTCTCAGTCTCCGTGTGACGTGGGTAATTGAGGTCATCCCGAAGCGCCCCGCATATTTATGTTGGCTCTGTCTGGAGGCTTCTTTCGCGGCGGTGTCTGCAATCTCGTTTCCTTCAGTATCATGATGCGCTGGAACCCAGTAGAGGTGGGTCTCTGCGCCCGCCTCTTTTAGTTTTCGGTGGTGTTCTTTGATACCTTCCACTACTTGTGACCCCGGTCCTGGTTCCATTGATTGAATTCTTCTCAGGGCGATCTTGGAGTCCGTGAAGACTTTGAGCGTGTTGACCGGATCTCTTTCTCCGTTTTTTTTAAGACGTTCTGTATGGTGTAACGTAGGGCTTCGGATATTGCGAATATTTCCGCGTCGATAACCTCTTTTGTCGACCCCAAGTTCCATATTCTCGTTTGCCACTGTTCTCTAAAGTTTAGTTGCGCTGTGGCTGCCCCAATTTTTCCTTCGGAGTTACGTGACCCGTCTGCCCAGATTATTATAGTTCCTCTCAGAAGGATTGCATGTTGGGATGCTATGGCTGAGGCTCTCTCTGTATCGGCGATGTGTATCCTGTCGTTTGGAATTGTCAGCTCCATGGTTCTGTTGGGAACTATTTCGACCCCGGCTTCTAGTGTGGCTGCTTCCTCGATTCTGCTCCGTAGAAGTCTCCCCACGGATTTGTGAGTTTTCGTGAAGCGGTATATGTCCGGTGGTATGAGGAACCTCATTGGATGGTTAGAAGGGAGCCCAAGGATTCGTGATGCGTATTTCTGTTGTCTTCGGTTGAGTAGGAACTGCGCTGGCCGTAACCCCGCTACTGATATTAACGGCCCTATTGGTGTCGTTCGAAGAGCCCCTGTGATTGCTCGAGCTTGCTTGTTGATGAGTTTTTGTATGTCGTATACTCGTGAGTCTTTGGACTTCATGCCCCACCATAACTTTGAGCCATACAACATTATTGCCTGAACCACGGCAATCTGTATTTTCTTCACGTTTTTCGGGCTGAGTCCTTGAGTAGACGTAAGTCTGCGGATTCGGGTTTCTGCCGCTTTGGCTTTCTTCATGCACATATTGTGGCGTTCACGGAATTTCAACTGGCTATCGATCCAGATTCCTAGCCATCGTGTGGCTGTACGGTTGAAAGGGACTTCTACCCCTCCTACTCGGATGCGGCATCTCTCCATGGCTGTTCGGAACTTCTTGTCGTTTTGTCGCGAGAATAATATTGCTTCCGTTTTGGCCAAATCGAATTATACAGTGTTTCAACAAACCCATTCTTCAGCACAAAGCGCTGCCTCCTCAAGACGTTTAGAGGCCTTTTCTGCGTTCTTCTCTGTGGCTATCCAGGCTATGTCATCTGCGTATGATATTGCTGTGACCTTGCCCTTCCATTCAACCTCCGCGAATATTCCGCTCAAGTAAATGGCGAATAGAATCGGCGAGACTGGCGAACCCTGTGGTATCCCCGTCGATGACCATCCGTATCCGGCGGTCTTCGAGGAAGCTTGACGCCCATTTTACTAAGCCTGCATCCACCTTGAGTTGAGTCATTCGGGCCAGAAGTTAGTTTCTCGCAACGTGGTCGAAAGCTCCTTTTACATCCATCAAGAGCATTGCCGTTGACATGTTCTGCTCCCACTCTTGTTGGATTCTCTGCATTGCGATTGCTACCACAAACATACCCTGATTGATTGATTGTAATCATTTAAGCGCATGCGTCCCTTTGGGATATGGCGCGAGAACTAACATACAAAAACACCCCCTTTCCGCAGCGTAACGCTGCTTCTATTCGACAGACTCTGCTTCATCCGTTTTCAACCATTCTCTCGCCGGCCTTGCTGCCTTTGCAGTGGCCGCCTTTTGAGCTGTACCCTGCTGTGCACTTATACTCTCCTATATCCACCGGTTTCTTCTACCCTTGCTTCTTTATATGCTCATATCCTCTTCTCCCCCGTCCTCTCTCTCCCATCCCCATTCATCGAGCACCCTCTCTTCTTCGACTCGGTCCTCTACTTCTGTTTTTGGTCTGCCCACGAGCGTTTCCTCGATAAATTTTAGGATCGCCGGGGTGGCCCTTGGTTCTGCGAAGATTGTCGACAATGCATGCATCCTCGTGAACCCGTCTTTCTTCAGCGCGTTCCAGAGCTCCTCTTGCTCCCCTTTCCATACTCTACATTCCTTAAACAGGTGGTCTCGGGTCTGGCGGGGTCTGTCGCACCACCAACATTCGTCACTTTCTCTTTTCCCTATCGACTTCAGGTATACGGCCGTGACTGCGCGGTCTGCCGCAAACCTGTAGTATTGTGAGGCCACCTTTTTACGGGCTTTTGCTGCTGTTGGGTCCATTCTGGTCGACTTTCTCAGCTTATATCGCTGGGGGTAGTACTTTTGGCACTTCTCCCCAAACCACTTCTGTTCTTCTAGGCGTCTGGCTTCATTGATCAGCCGGCTGATATGGGCTAGTGAGGGTTTCCGAGTCCCTCGGGAATTCTGATTGCGGGTGACAGCTTCTTTTGCCGCTTTGTCTGCTACTTCATTGCCAACTATGTCTTGATGGCCGGGTACCCAATGTAGGTGTACATCCACTCCTCTATGGTTTAGTGCAGCGTAGCATCTCCGGATCTCGTTGGCTAACCCTTGACCGGGCCCTGGGTCCAATGACTTGATCCGTTCCAGCGCAAATTTGGAGTCCGTGAGGATCCGTATTTCGTTGAGTCGACTTGCGTTTGCTGAAGTGGTTTTTAGAGTCTCTGCGATCGCGAGTAGTTCAGCGTCGATGGCTTCTTGATTCCTTCCCAAGGTCCATCCCTGGGTCTTCCAGGCCCCATCTGCGTCACGCCATGCCACCGCTGCCCCAGTGTCACCCTCACAGTTCTTTGATCCATCCGTCCAGAAAACCTCCACCGCTCTTTGGTCGGGGACAAGGGGTCTGAGCTCGTATACATAGGCCGTTCTTTCAGCGTACATTCGCTCTTCAATATGTATTGAGCTATGAGGTACCGGTTTAGCAGTTTGCGGGGGTACTCTCTCCGCGCCAAAAGACATGTCCGTTAAATCATGAATGCAATCCCGAAGAGCCCTTCCCAGGTTGGTTGCTTTCTTTTGCCCAATGCTATACGAGTCCATAGGGATAATCATTGCTAAGGGGTGGTCGGTCGGTAGCTTCAAGGCCCGGAGAGCATATTTTCTCTGGCGGTAGCGTAGAAGGGTTGAGGCAGGGTGTAGTCCGGCTTCTCTGATCAGTGGTCCGACCGGCGTGGTCCGCAGCATTCCTGTGATGGTACGCGCTTGCTCATTGATGAGTTTCTGGATTTGGAGGACTCTCCCGTCCGCTCGGTCCTTCCTCCACCAGAGCTCCGCCCCATATAGTGCGATTGCCTGTGACGTGGCTACTAGGATTTTCCTGACATGCGACGGGGAGAGTCCTTGGGCCGACGCCAGTCTCCAAGCTTGGTACAGCATTGTACGGGCTTTTTTTAGTCCAATATTGTGGTGTTCTCGGAGTTTAAGGTGGCTGTCGAGCCATATTCCCAGCCATCTGGTTGCCTTGTTGTTGAATTGGATCCTTGCGCTGCCTATTCGGATATGCTTGGAGACGTTGTCCTTGAAATTCTTGTTGTTTTGGCGCGCGAAGAGAATGGCCTCCGTTTTTCCCAAGTCGAATTCGACTGCGTTACGGCTGGCCCACTCTTCGGCTGCCTCCGCTGTTGATTCCAGATTCCGGGTGATTTTGTCGACGTCTTTTCCCGTCGCCAGCCAGCCGATGTCGTCAGCGTACGAAATTCCAATTACACTGCACTTGGCTTCGACCTCCTGGAATACGCCACTCAGGTATATGGCAAAGAGTATGGGGGAGACTGGAGACTCTTGGGGAACCCCGGACAGTACAGAGTGGCTTTCGAGCTCGTGGCCGTCTATGACCATGCTAACACTTCTACCTTCCAGGAAGCTAGATGTCCACTGGATCAAGCCGGCATCGACGTTCTTCTTTTCCATACTGGCAAGTAAGCAGGCATGAGATACGTGGTCAAAGGCACCTTTCACATCCATCAATAGCATTGCTGCCGATTCCTTTGCTGCCCAGGCCTGTTGGATTCTGTCCATTGCTATGGC